ATATCGGACTCACAGGCCACAAATGTTTTGGAAAAAAAAAAAAAAAAGGTAACCCAAAAATTTCAAGATAAAGCGACTTTACGGAAAATCCTGATGTTACCCCCCGTCGGTTTCAAGGCTCAACTACCACTTCTATATCTTGGTAGTACTGATCGGGGTTTTTTTTCATTTAATTCCCTTTGAATTTAGGTTTTTGTTCTTTAAGTTTTTTTTTTAAATTTTTGGGGCCCTGGCAAGAATCACTGATTAAGGGGCGGCCCCCGGTTAAAATGAAAAGTAAGGTTTTAACCCTTTTAGGGGTTTTCCCCGTTTAGAGGCTTAGCCCAGGGTTATTGTATACTAGTACACCCCAAATTCTAGCACCCCAAATCTAGTGAGAGAAAGCTGGTAGGCCTACATAGAAAGAATGGGGCTATGTGGTCAGTGTGGCACTATGAAAAAATCCTGCAGCATGCAGTGATAATGGGGAAAAAAATTCTTTTACGTGTTTTTGGATTAAAACAGCGATTTTCATGTATTTTCGTATGGTTTTTTATAATGTATTCTAGTTTTTTTAGGTAGTAAGTTTGGGAGACAGCAACCCCAGGGAGGGATACCGTCCTGCCAAGTGAGTGTTTAAAACGAAAGCCCTTTAAATTTTTTTACTTGAAAGGTAGGATTTCTGGGGTCTTTTGTCTGTCTCAAAATAGCAAGATTACAGGGATGTCTTTCTACTTTACTTACATTAGGTCACACTACACATACAGTACACGTTTATTTATACCACTCATCTGAGTTTTCTTTTATTTTATCTTAAAAGTTCTTGGGCTTATTACTTTTTCCCTTTTATATCCATGGGGAAGGGAATAAGAATCTTTCCTCCGTAAGCCATGCGTGTTGTAAAAATCAACTAAAATGCCGGGGGGAAAAATGGGGTATAACCCCCTTTTTTGAAAGATTTCTAAAAAAAATAAGAAGAAAAAATTGTCAAAATGGGGAAATCTGAATGTGCGTGGATGTTGCAAAGATAAGAAGAGATGTTTTGGGTGTTTGAATGAGAAAAATGGATGTCCTGGCTTTTAAATGAAACAAAAAAAAAAAAAAAAAGGGGGTGGGAGGTTTCAATGGAGGGAATTAAATGGGGGTTAGGTCAGGGGTTTCAAATAGAGTTAGAGCTAAAGAAGGAGTCAATAATGTTGAAGGATAAACTTGGCGGAAAAGGGGCTACAAATGTATAAATTAAGGATTATGGGAGTAAATAAATTGGATGTGAAAAGGGGTATGGGGAAAGCGTGAAAGCACCCAGAGAGGGGGGGAAGTGTGAGGGAAAAAGAGAGAGATTTTGGGAAATGTTGGTGATGGTGGGGGGGGTTTTTAAAAATTTTGGAGTTGGGGGGGGGGGGATTTAGGGGGTTTTAGGAGGGGGGGGGTGTAGGTAAATTTGGGGTCCAGGGAATGTAAAAGGGGGCCCTTTTTTGAGTATGTGTAGAAAGAAATTTTGGGAATAAGTAATACATATTTTATGAAAAAGAGGGTAAATAATATACAAGGTAGATGTAGCACGTAATGAAAGTAGTTTTTTAGATTATGTTTGGTGGATAAAAGGTTGATGGGTAGGTCCAGGTTACATGTTTTTTGAGGGGAACTGATAATTTTTGGTATTTTAGTTGTAGCTCAGTTTGAGAAGAGGGGAGATGGGGGGGGGGGGGGTGGAAACAAAAAGTAAAAGGGGGTGAAAGTGTTAAACTAAGGGAGGAGGAAGTTCGGGGGGAATAAGCACTTTGGGCGAAAGGGGGCTGGCAAAATGAGTGGGGGGGGGTTGAAGAGGGGTTGGGAATAGTTTTAAAAAAGAGTTTGTTTTGGGGGGGGAAGGGGGGTTTTGGGGGTGGGGGGGGGAGGGGGGTGTGGTGGTTTTTGAAAGTAAAGGGGGTTGGAAAAAAGGGGTTGGGGGGTTTTTGGGTGTTTGGGGGTTTGGAGGTGGGTGGGGGTGGGGGGGGGGGGGGGGGATGGTTTTGGGGAGGTGTCAAAAAATTTTTTGTGAAAAATTTTGGAGGGTTAAAAAAGTTAAGAAAGGTGGGAAAGTTGGGGTTGAGAAAAAAAAATGGGGGGTTTTTGTGATGGGGGGGGGGTTTGGGTGTGGGGGGTATTTTGGGTTTTTTTGAGGGAAAAGGGGGTGGGTTTTTTAAGGAGGGGTTATTTTTTAGGAGTGGAGAGTGAAAGTAAGGGGTGGGGGAGGTAGTGGGTTAGTGTGAAAGGGGGTTTAACAGTGGAAACTGAAAGGGAAGCAGAAATGTTAAAAGGGAAAAGGGGGGGGAGGGGGGTATAGGTTGGAGGGTTGTATTTTGTTTTAAAAATGGAGGGGGGAAGGTTTGGGATGGCAGAGGCTTATGGGTTTTTTAAAAAGGGGGGACCCCAAAAAAAATTGTAAAAATTATGGGAAAAAGTTTATGATTAAGGGAAAAGATAGGTTTGGGGGTTATAATTTTAAAGAATTAGAGGTAAAGACAGATGTAGGATTGCGGATGAGCAGGGAGGCTTCAGAGTGGGTAGGGGATGTGTAGATAAAAGTGTTTACATTGAAGCATATATGTGAACAGTATTTAGGATAAAGGTAGGGAAGTTTTTATTGCATTTATGGTTTTAAAGAAAAGGAATATGATAGAGGGGATAGAGGAGCAATGTGGCAATGTTGCAAGTTTTTGGAATAGGGGGTTTAAGTTACTAAATGCTGTAAAGAGCTTTTATGAGGATAGTGAGGCTCAGGTTAGGGTATGTAGAAGAGAGGGAGACTACTTTCCCGGTAAAAGTAGGTCTTAGACAGGGATGTGTAATGTCACCATGGTTGTTTAATATATTTATAGATGAGGTTTTTAAAAGAAGTAAATGCTAGGGTGTTTGGGAGAGGGTGGGATTAAATTAGGGGGAATCAAATTCAAAAATGGGAACTGACACAGTTACTTTTTGCTGATGATACTGTGCTTATGGGAGATTCTAAAGAAAAATTGCAAAGGTTTAGTGATGAGTTTGAGATGTGTGTAAAGGTAGAAAGTTGAAAGTGAACATAGAAAAGAGTAAGGTGATGAGGGTATCAAGATTTAGATAAAGAAAAATTGGATATCAAATTGGGGAGGAGGAGTATGGGAAAAAGTGAATGTCTTCAGATACTTGGGAGTTGACGTGTCAGCGGGAAGGTTTATGAAGGATGAGTTAATCATAGAATTGATGAGGGAAAAAAGGTGAGTGGTGCGTTGAGGTATGGGGTGGAGTCAAAAAAACGTTATCTATGGAGGCAAAAAAGGGAATGTATGAAAGTATAGTAGAACCAACATCTTATTGGATGTGAAGCTTGGGTGGTAAATGCAGCAGCGAGGAGACGGTTGGAGGCAGTGGAGATGTCTTGTATAAAGGCAATGTGTGGTGTAAATATTATGCAGAAAAATTTGGAGTGTGGAAATTAGGAGAAGGTGTGGAGTTAATAAAAGCATTAATCAGAGGGCAGAAGAGGAGTTGTTGAAGTGGTTTGGTCATTTAGAGAGAATGGATCAAAGTAGAATGACATGGAAAGCATATAAATCTATAGGGAAAGGAAGGAGGGGTAGGGGTCATCCTCGAAAGGGTTGGAAAGAGGGGGTAAAGGAGGTTTTGTGGGCAAGGGGCTTGGACTTCCAGCAAGCGTGCATGAGCGTGTTAGATAGGAGTGAATGGAGACGAATGATACTTGGGACCTGACGATCTGTTGGAGTGTGAGCAGGGTAATATTTAGTGAAGGGATTCAGGGAAACCGGTTATTTTCAAATAGTCGGACTTGAGTCCTGGAAATGGGAAGTACAATGCTTGCACTTTAAAGGAGGGGTTTTGGGATATTGGCAGTTTGGAGGGATATGTTGTGTATCTTTATACGTATATGCTTTTAAACTGTTGTATTCTGAGCACCTCTGCAAAAACAGTGATAATGTGTGAGTGTGGTGAAAGTGTTGAATGATGATGAAAGTATTTTCTTTTTGGGGATTTTCTTTCTTTTTTGGGTCACCCTGCCTCGGTGGGAGATGACCGACTTGTTGAAAAAAAAAAAAAAAAATTCTAGTTTTCCTGGTCTCATTTTATAGAATGGAAGACATATTACACAAATTGAGATGATTTTGACTGGTTTCACAATGAAAAGTACCTTTAAATTGAGCTCAAAGTAGCAGAAATGTTCGATTTTTGCCAAAAGTTCAAAAGTAAACAAATCATGCCACGCGTCCAATACACATCAACTGGTGAGTCTAATATTCTTTCACAAGTGCACTGATATTATTTATACCATTTCTACACAAATGCAGTAGTCTGCATAACAGTAAATCTTCGACTTATTTGTGAGAATAAAAATTCAGATGGAAAGCAAAAGAAATGTAAGAGGGGCCTGGGGACATGACTAATGAACAGAGAAATGTTATTTTAGTGCCAGGAATGTCTGTCTTGTTTATTCTGGACCCTATTTGGAAATTGGCATCTTTTGAAATTTGTGTGAAATTGGTAAAATTGCCAATTTCTGACCACTTTATTGGATAGTTGAAATTGTTAAATGGGTGGTTTCTTGTACTCATTCAATAGAAAACATGGAGTTCTACTGAAATAGTTATGATTTTTGTTGACTGGTACATTGGAATTGGCCGAAAATAGTGCTCAGTGGGCGAAATCATCGATGCATAAACATCTTCGAGACCGCTAACTTCGCAAGAGCATAATTACGTAAGTTTTCCATCAAATTTCATACTTTTGGTGTCATTATGATCAGGAAAAGATTCTCTATCCTTTAATGAGATTTTTTTTTTTTTTCTGAAAAATTTTCAACCCTGAGAACAAGTTTAGGAGAGGGCCTCTCGACCCTGGAAGGGTTAATGACAAAACTGAGAGGTTTTCATGTGTATAACTTAAAAGGTTTTAATATAATTAAAGGGTTTTATTTATAACTTACAGGTTTTATTTATAACTTACAGGTTTTATTTATAACCTAAGAGGTTTTAACACGTGTAACTTACAGGTTCAACTTGCATCCTGGCTGGAGGAAGGCAAGAGCTTCGTGTATGCTGAAATTCTGCCAAGTGTCATCATGATGATGGTCTACATGTGATTCACTCTTCTGTTCCTGCTGCTGCTGCTGCTGCTGCTGCTGTGGCTGTTCCTGCTGCTGATGCTGCTGCTGCTGCTGCTGTTGTTGTTGTTGTTGTGGACTCTGTGGGACATCATCCTGGTACTCAACCTGTGTGTGAAGTTATAGATAAAAACACAACTTGACTTACAATAGACGTAAAGATAAGCGAAACAACAGATGTAAATTTTTTTTTTTATTATTATCACACTGGCTGATTCCCACCAAGGCAGGGTGACCCGAAAAAGAAAAACTTTCACCATCATTCACTCCATCACTGTCTTGCCAGAAGGGTGCTTTACACTACAGTTTTTAAACTGCAACATTAACACCCCTCCTTCAGAGTGCATATAAACAGATGTAAATATCAGCATAACAACATATGTAAATACAGTGCTACCTCAGGATACGAACTTAATTCATTCCAGAAGGCTGTTTGAGTGCCGATACTGAACGAATTTGTTCCCATAAGGAATAATGTAAATTAGATTAATCCGTTTCAGACCCCCAAAAATACACTTACAAAAGCACTTACATAAATACACTTACATAATTGTTAGAGTTTTGAGGTGTTCGTATCCCGAGGTACCACTGTATCAGCATAACAACAGATGTAAAGATAGATGTAGATACGGAATTTAAAGGTTAGACACATATGCAACAGTTAGACAACTTTATTCCGAAACGTTTCGCCTACACAGTAGGCTTCTTCAGTCGAATACAGAAAGTAGGCAGGAACAGTAGAGATGTGAAGACGATGTAATCAGTCCATCACCCTTGAAGTAGTAGAATTTGAGGTTGTCAGTCCCTCAGCCTGGAGAAGTTCAGTTCCATAGTCAGGAACTATCTGTGTCTAACCTAACAACCTGTCGGTATTGTATACCATTTTGATGATCAAGGAATTTTAAGTATCACATTAAATAAGGTTCTACCAAACGTACCTAATATTAGAGAGGAAGGAGCAAAATATGATGCCCAAAGAGATGTGTAAATATAAGTAGACACTTGGATCATTTACAGTAAGTCCTTGACTTACAGTAAGTCCTTGACTTACAGTAAGTCCTTGACTTACAGTAAGTCCTTGACTTACAGTAAGTCCTTGACTTACGAATACGTTGAGAATCTTCGGTATTGTGGAGTGGTTTGAGGTATTGGCTGTTTGGAGTGACATTGAAACTGTCATATCTGGGCACCTCTGAACAGACTGTGTGAATGATGGTGAAAGTGTTGAATGATGGTGAAAGTGTTGAATGATGGTGAAAGTGTTGAATGATGGTGAAAGTGTTGAATGATGGTGAAAGTGTTGAATGATGGTGAAAGTGCTGACTGATGGTGAAAGTGTAGAATGATGGTGAAAGTCTTTCGTTCTTGTTTGGGTCACCCTTCCTTAGTGGGAGATGGCCGGCGTGTTAAAAAAAAAAATATATACACGCTACAAAAGATTCTCAATGTATTTATAATTCACAGACTTACTGTAAACAATCTCACAGGATGTAAAGTGACGGTGATACAAAGGCGCCACAGATCTCCAATCTGTATTCCCCTGACAATACCTCCTGATACAGTATTTTACAGCATCAAGACACTTTTTTCTCCCCGTACACCTTAAAAATTTACCCAGCATCTTGGAGGCTGAAGGTTACACAAGAACTTGAGAAATGAGCACTGCAGCAGCCCTACTGCCCCATACTAGCAGGTTCAAGTCATATGCATTTAAGGAAGGAGCACTGTATCAGGCCTACTGGCCCATGCTAGGCAGGTTCAAGTCACACTCATTTAAGGAAGGAGCACTGCATCAGGCCTACTGGCCCATGATAGGAAGATCCAAGTCATACTCATTTAAGGAAGGAGCACTGCATCAGGCCTACTGGCCCATGATAGGAAGATCCAAGTCATACTCGCTTAAGGAAGGAGCACTGCAGCAGGCCTACCAGCCCATGCTAGGCAGATCCAAGTCACATTCACTTAACCCTTTGACTGTTTTGGTGGTATATATACGTCTTACGAGCCACCGTTTTTGATGTATATATACTCATAAATTCTAGCAGTTTCAAATCAAGCAGGAGAAAGCTGATAGGCCCACACGTGAGAGAATGGGTCTATGTGGTTAGTGTGCACCATATAAAAAAAATCCTACAGCACGCAGTGCATAATGAGAAAAAAAAACTCCGACCTTTTTTGTTTTAATTAAAGTGCCGACTTTGTGGTCTATTTTTGTAAAGTATTTATGGTGGTATTCTCGTTTTCTTGGTCTCATTGATAGAATGGAAAACATATTATAGAAATAGAGGTGATTTTGATTGTTTTTACTATGAAAAGAACCTGGAAATGGAGCTCAAAGTACGGGAAATGTTTGATTTTTACCGATGTTCAAAAGTAATCAAATGATGCCATTGTCCAATAAATGTCCAACTAGCCATTCTAATATGCAGTCATGAATGGGTTGATGTTATTTATACAATTATTTCAATACTGCAGTAGTCTGCATAACAGTAAATCTTCTATTTTTTGTTTGAATAAAAATTCAAAATAGAAAGCAAGAGTAATATCAGAGGGGCCTGGAGACATGACTGATGAACAAAGAAAATGTTATTTTAGAGCCAGGAATGTCTGCATTGTTCATTCTGGACCTTATTTTGAAATTATCATATTTTTTTAATTTTCATGAAGCTGGCCAAATTGCAAAATTCTGACCATGTTACTGGGTAGTTGAAATCGGTAAATGGGCAGTTTCTTGTACTTAATTGATAGAAAAAAAGGAGTTCTAAAGAAACAGCTATGAGTTTGGTCGACTGGAATAATGGAATTAGCCGAAAATAGGGCTCAAAGTGGGTGAAATCGCCGATTCGTAAATATCACTGAGGTCACTAACTTAGCGAGAGTGTAATTCTGTCAGTTTTCCATCAAATTTCGTTCTTTTGGTGTCATTACAATCGGAAAAAGATTCTCTATCATTTCATAAGAAAAATTTTTTTTTTTTTTTATTTGGAAATTTTACGACACCAGGAGACACCTCAGGATTTGGGGTTGCTACAGGAGCACTGCAGCAGGCCTACCAGCCCATGCTAGGCAGATCCAAATCATGCTCACTTAAGGAAGGAGCACTGCAGCAGGCCTACTGGCATATACTAGGCAAGTCAAAGTTACACTCACTTAAGGAACACTGCAGGAGGCCTACTGGCCCATGCTAGGCAGGTTCAAGTCACACCTGCATTGCTTATAAGCCTCAACCTAAGCCTAGGAAAGTATTTCCATACCAGACAGTAATCTAAGCTCGTGTATATGACCCAATAATGAATCGTGTAAACAATTTTGTATAAAATAATGAATAAAGGGGTTACTAACTCTGGATCCCGGTATTTTAGTTGACTCTTATGACACGCATGGCTTATGGAGGAAGAATTCTGTCCACTTCCCCGTGGAGATAAGAGGAAATAAACAAGAACTAGTAAGAAAATAGAAGAAAACCCAGAGGGGTGTGTATATATATGCTTGTACATGCATGTGTCGTGTGACCTAAGTGTAAGTAGAAGTAGCAAGACGTACCTGAAACCTTGCATGTTTATGAGACAGAAAAATGGACACCAGCAATCCTACCATCATGTAAAACAATTACAGACTTCCGTTTTACATTCACTTGGCAGGATGGTAGTACCTCCCTGGGAGGCTGCTGTCTACCAACCTACTACCTAGGAACTACAAGTCACTGGTACTATATACCAGGTTCTTACAAACCTCCTTCTTAATGTTGATGGCCATAACATGCGCCAAGCTGCCTTGAACATGGTGGGAGGTGGGTGACAACTGACCCAGCTGGTAGAGTATCTGACGGGCACTCTTCCCCTTGCCCTTCTGACTCTCAACCTCTGTTGAGTCGGTGTTGTCGTTGCTCTGTTCTTTGGGGTCAGTGAAGGTCAGACTGGTGCCTCGGTCACATACAGTCAGGGCTGGTGAAAACGGTTGCAATATTTCATCACCTGGAAAAAAAATAAACAATGTACACAGAACACTAGGAGAAGTTGCTAGAAGTTACTAGATATACACCAAATAATACTAGGCATTACTAGATATGCAAAGAATGTTACACAATGTTACTAGAAGTACATTCTAGAGGTTACTAGATTTTTTTTTTTTTTTTTTTTCAACAAGTCGGTCGTCTCCCACCGAGGCAGGGTGACCCAAAAAAAAGAAAGAAAATCCCCAAAAAGAAAATACTTTCATCATCATTCAACACTTTCACCACACTCACACTAGATATACACAGATATACTAGATATACACAGAATATTACTAGAAGTACATTCTAGAGGTTACTAGATATACACAGAATGTTACTAGAAGTACTAGAGGTTACTAGATATACACAGAATACTGCTAGAAGTTACTGGATATAAACAATTAGGTACTTGAAGATATTGGACATAAACAATTAGGTATTCAATTGAAAGTACTGGACATCTGCCTAACTAAGAACGAAAATTGAAAATGGAAAGCAATTATAATACGTATAGGAGACGCCGTGGGGAGGTGCCTAATGAACAGAGAAAATTGTTGTTTTATTGCCAGGAACATCTGTATTGCTTATTCTAGACCCTACTTTTAAATTGGCAATTTTTAAATTTTATGAAATTGGCAAAATTACTGATGTCTGTTCACTTTACTGGGTAGTTGAAATAGAAAATGGGCTGTTTTCCAGTACTCAGTCAATAGACTGGAAGACATACTAGAAAAATAGTTAAGAAAATGCTAACTGGAACAATGCAAGTGACCTAAAATAAGATTCAGACCGTCGAAATCACCGATCCATAAATATCGCTGATGATGACTACTAACTTTTCGAGAGCGTAATTCTGCGAGTTTTTCATCAAATTTCATACTATTGATGTCATTACCTTAGAATAAATGATTCCCTATAATTTCATAAGAAAAAACATTTTTTTTTAATTTTTTAGAAATTTCTTGGAGACTATTAGACAGGTTTCAGATCTGGACCTTCGAAGAGTTAGGCAACAACAGGACAAAGTTAAAATACACTTCAAAAAGATGGATCTAAATTCAAAGCAGTATAGGGGCCCACAACTTTTCAACTGCCTCCCAGCATACGTAATATACATACCAATACAGTGGCCCCTCGTTTTTTCATAATTAATCCGTTCCTGGAGCCGTTACTATAAACGAAATTTACGATTTACGAATCAATTTTCCCCATAAGAAATAATGTAAATACAATTAATCCGTTCCTAACACCCAGAAGTATTAAAACAAAAAAAATTTTACATGAAATATACATGTAGTACATACAGTACAATGGGAAATGATGAATGAAACATTAACAGCATAACACTTACCTTTAATGGAGTTTCTTCTTTGTGTATGGGAGACTGGAGGAGGAGAGAGAGTGGATTGTTTATAGTTTGGAAGGGAAATCCCCTTCCATCAACACCTCAGGTACCAAATGCTTTTCTGGGGTTGCTTCTCTTCTCTGTTTCTTAAAGCCACTAGACCCACCTTGAGAGCCAATGGAGTCCTGTCTCGCAAAATAACTGTGGAGAGAGCTCTGTTTCTGGCGTCTCTTTAAATGGCCCAAGACTTTGTCACTGTACATGTTGCCAATATGGCTTGCAACAACCTTGTTAGGGTGATGTTTCTTCATAAAGCTTTCCATCTTATCCCACATAGTAAAAATCTCTTTAATTTCTGAAGAAGGCACCTTCTTCCATCTCTCTTCCTCCTCCTCTGCAGCAAGATTCTGAGCTGCGATGTGTTGCTCTTCCTGCTGAAGCTCTTGCAGCTCCTCAGTGGTGAGCTCTTCGTTGTGGTCTTCCACCAACTCTTCCACATCCTCCAAACTCACATCCAACCCCATGGAACTCCCCAGTGCCACAATTGATTTTACAACAGACATAGGCTCATCAGGGTCAGTCCCAAACCCTTCAAAATCCCTCTTGTCGACACAATCTGGCCACAATTTTCTCCAGGCGGAGTTCAAAGTCCTGGTAGTCACTCCCTCCCAAGCCATACCTATAAGGGTTATGCAATGGAGGATGCTGAAGTGTTCTCTCCAAAATTCCCTTAGGGTCAAGTGAGTGTCTGTGGTCACAGTCAAGCACCTGTGAAACATTGCTTTTGTGTAGAGTTTTTTAAAGTTTGCAATGACCTGCTGGTCCATGGGCTGGAGGAGAGGAGTGGTATTCGGGGGCAAGAACTTTACTGTGATGAACCCAAACTCCTCGAAAATTAGGTCATCCAAGTTTGGAGGATGAGCAGGTGCACTGTCCATTACTAGCAGGCACTTGAGATCCAATTTCTTTTCCAGGAGATACTCCTTCACACTATGGCCAAACACTTCATTGAACCACTCGACAAAAATTTCCCTCGTGACCCATGCCTTACTATCAGATTTCCAAAACACACACAATTTACTCTTCATAACATTGTTTTTCCTGAACACTCTGGGATTTTCAGAATGGTACACTAGTAATGGCTTCACTTTGAAATCCCCACTAGCATTAGCACAGAACATTAGTGTCAGCCTGTCTTTCATAGGCTTGTGTCCTGGCATTGCCTTTTCCTCTTGTGTAATGAAGGTCCTCTTTGGCATTTTCTTCCAAAAAAGGCCTGTTTCGTCACAATTGAACACTTGTTCAGGTTTCAGTCCTTCAGCCTCTATGTACTCCTGGAATTCATGCACATATTTTTCAGCTGCCTTGTGGACCGAACTGGCAGCCTCACCATGCCTTACCACACTGTGTATGCCAGTACGGTTCTTAAATCTCTCAAACCAGCCTTTGCTGGCCTTAAATTCACTCACTTCACCACTATTTGCAGGTAATTTCTTTACCAAATCTTCATGCAACTGCCTAGCCTTTTCACAAATAAACGAAGTCATAAGAGTATCTCCTGCTAATTGTTTCTCATTTATCCACACCAATAATAACTTCTCAACCTCTTCCAGTACTGGTGATCTCATTTTTGTCAGCATAGTTACTCCCTTTGCAACAACAGCATCCTTGATTTCATTTTTCTTGGCCACTTTGGAACATAAGGTTGTGTAGGGTTTCTTATACATCCTGGACAGTTCGGCCACACTTGTACCACTTTCATATTGTTCAATGATGGTTTTCTTAAATTCAATCGTATTTCTCACCTTCTTTACCACAGGCTTGGCACTAGGAGCTTTCTTTGGAGCCATGGTAGCTTATTTAGTACTTGCAAGCACTAAAATAAATGGAATATTATGAAATATTTCGCTGGAGCATGTGAGGGGACCTTCACTCACTAGTAAACAATGCCAGACTGGCTGCCGCCACGGCTCACGCCATGGGTACGCGTCCCGGACGAACTACGACTCGCGAGTCAACCTATGAAAAGCGAGTCCATGTTTATACGAAAATACCCCTATGATTGGCGAAATTTACAATTGCCGAGAACTACGAACAGCAAGGGACCACTGTATACCCCTGGCTGTTGTCAAGACCCCTGGCTGTCTTCAAGACCCCAGGCTGTCTTCAAGACCCCTGGCTATCTTCAAGACCTCTGGCTGTCTTCAAGACCCTTGGTTGTCTTCAAGACTCCTGGCTGTTGTCAAGACCCCTGGCTGTTGTCAAGACCCCTGGCTGTCTTCAAGACCCTTGGCTGTCTTCAAGACTCCTGGCTGTCTTCAAGACCCCTGGCTGTCTCCAAGACCCCTGGCTGTTGTCAAGACCCCTGGCTGTCTTCAAGACTCCTGGCTGTCTCCAAGACCCCTGGATGTCTTCAAGACCCCTGGATGTCTTCAAGACCCCTGGATGTCTTCAAGACCCCTGGCTGTCTTCAAGACCCTTGGCTGTCTTCAAGACCCCTGGCTGTCTCCAAGACCCCTGGCTGTCTTCAAGAAAGTGCTGGACAGGCACCTGAAGTCAGTACCTGACCAGCCGGGGTGTGGTTTGTACATCGACTTGCATGCGGTCAGCAGTAACAGCCTGGTCGATCAGGCCCTGATCCACCATGAGGCCTGGTCTCAGACCAGGCTGCGGGGGCATTGACCCCTCAAAACCCTCTCCAGGTATACTCCAGGTATATTTCACGATAGGGTCCATCTTACTGAAACACCCTGTTTACAGAGGAATCCCAAGTTTCGGCCATAATTCGTTCCACAAGTCTGTTCGAGTGCCATTACCGAACATATCTGTTCCCATAAGGAATAATATAAATTAGATTAGCCTATTTCAGAACCCCAAAAATGCACTTACAAAAGCACTTACAAAAATACACTTACATAATTGTTGAAGTTGGGAGCTGTACGAAACACAGGGTACCACTGCACTATCAAAACATTCACATACGTGTATAAGACATTAAAATAATTCACAGATTTAAGACACATTATCAAACCATTCACAGATTTAACCCTTTTGGAGTCCAGAATTTTGTTTTTCTTATAAAATGGTAGAGAATATTTTTCTGAAGTCAACAACGTCCTGTGGTTGTAGGTTGGTAGACAACAACCACCCAGGGAGGTACTACTGTCCTGTGGTAGTAGGTTGGTAGACAGCAACCACCCAGGGAGGCACTACTGTCCTGTGGTAGTAGGTTGGTAGACAGCAACCACCCAGGGAGGTACTACCATCCTGTGGTAGTAGGTTGGTAGACAGCAACCACCCAGGGAGGTACTACTGTCCTGTGGTAGTAGGTTGGTAGACAACAACCACCCAGGGAGGTTCTACTGTCCTGTGGTAGTAGGTTGGTAGACAACAACCACCCAGGGAGGTACTACCATCCTGTGGTAGTAGGTTGGTAGACAACAACCACCCAGGGAGGTACTACCATCCTGTGGTAGTAGGTTGGTAGACAACAACCACCCAGGGAGGTACTACTGTCCTGTGCTAGTAGGTTGGTAGACAACAACCACCCAGGGAGGTACTACTGTCCTGTGGTAGTAGGTTGGTAGACAGCAACCACCCAGGGAGGCACTACTGTCCTGTGGTAGTAGGTTGGTAGACAGCAACCACCCAGGGAGGTACTACCATCCTGTGGTAGTAGGTTGGTAGACAGCAACCACCCAGGGAGGTACTACTGTCCTGTGGTAGTAGGTTGGTAGACAACAACCACCCAGGGAGGTTCTACTGTCCTGTGGTAGTAGGTTGGTAGACAACAACCACCCAGGGAGGTACTACCATCCTGTGGTAGTAGGTTGGTAGACAACAACCACCCAGGGAGGTACTACCATCCTGTGGTAGTAGGTTGGTAGACAACAACCACCCAGGGAGGTACTACTGTCCTGTGCTAGTAGGTTGGTAGACAACAACCACCCAGGGAGGTACTACTGTCCTGTGGTAGTAGGTTGGTAGACAACAACCACCCAGGGAGGTACTACTGTCCTGTGGTAGTAGGTTGGTAGACAGCAACCACCCAGGGAGGTACTACTGTCCTGTGGTAGTAGGTTGGTAGACAGCAACCACCCAGGGAGGTGCTACCATCCTGTGGTAGTAGGCTGGTAGACAGCAACCACCCAGGGAGGTACTACCGTCCTGTGGTAGTAGGTTGGTACACAACAACCACCCAGGGAGGTGCTACCATCCTGTGGTAGTAGGTTGGTAGACAGCAACCACCCAGGGAGGTACTACCATCCTGTGGTAGTAGGTTGGTAGACAGCAACCACCCAGGGAGGTACTACCATCCTGTGGTAGTAGGTTGGTAGACAGCAACCACCCAGGGAGGTACTACTGTCCTGTGGTAGTAGGTTGGTAGACAACAACCACCCAGGGAGGTTCTACTGTCCTGTGGTAGTAGGTTGCTAGACAACAACCACCCAGGGAGGTACTACCATCCTGTGGTAGTAGGTTGGTAGACAACAACCACCCAGGGAGGTACTACCATCCTGTGGTAGTAGGTTGGTAGACAACAACAACCCAGGGAGGTACTACTGTCCTGTGGTAGTAGGTTGGTAGACAACAACCACCCAGGGAGGTACTACTGTCCTGTGGTAGTAGGTTGGTAGACAACAACCACCCAGGGAGGTACTACTGTCCTGTGGTAGTAGGTTGGTAGACAGCAACCACCCAGGGAGGTACTACTGTCTTGTGGTAGTAGGTTGGTAGACAGCAACCACCCAGGGAGGTGCTACCATCCTGTGGTAGTAGGCTGGTAGACAGCAACCACCCAGGGAGGTACTACTGTCCTGTGGTAGTAGGTTGGTAGACAGCAACCACCCAGGGAGGTACTACCATCCTGTGGTAGTAGGTTGGTAGACAGCAACCGCCCAGGGAGGTACTACCATCCTGTGGTAGTAGGTTGGTAGACAGCAACCACCCAGGGAGGTACTACCATCCTGTGGTAGTAGGTTGGTAGACAGCAACTGCCCAGGGAGGTACTACTGTCCTGTGGTAGCAGGTTGGTAGACAGCAACCACCCAGGGAGTACTACCATCCTGTGGTAGTAGGTTGGTAGACAGCAACTGCCCAGGGAGGTACTACCATCCTGTGGTAGCAGGTTGGTAGACAGCAACCACCCAGGGAGGTAGTACCGTCCTGCCAAGTGAGTGTAAAGCGAAAGCCTGTAATTGTTTTACATGATGGTAGGATTGCTGGTGTCTTTTTTTCTGTCTCATACACATGCAAGATTTCAGGTACGTCTTGCTACTTCTACTTACACTTAGGTCACACTACACATACATGTACAAGCATATATATACACACCCCTCTGGGTTTTCTGCTATTTTCTTACTAGTTCTTGTTCTTGTTTATTTCCTCTTATCTCCATGGGGAAGTGGAACAGAATTCTTCCTCCGTAAGCCATGTGTGTTGTAAGAGGCGACTAAAATGCCGGGAGCAAGGGGCTAGTAACCCCTTCTCTTGTATATATTACTAAATTTAAAAAGAAAAACTTTTGTTTTTCTTTTTGGGCCACCCTGCCTTGGTGGGATACGGCCGGTTTGTTGAAAGAAGAACAACAACAACAAAACAAAATACAGGAAATTGATGGAAAATTGCCAAAATTACGCTATCGCAAATTTTGGCGTGTCAGCAACATTCACACATCAGCAATTTCTGCTACTTTCAGCTCAATTTCATACTATTTTCAGCCCTAAACCAATCAAAATCATCTCTATTTCTATATCTTTCACTCTATCAAATGGGACCAAGAAACTGAGAATACAACCATGAAAACCATACAAAAATACACCATAAAGTTGCTGTTTTAACCAAAATCCTGGTTGCATTTTTTCTCATTATGCACCGAGTTCCACAGAATTATTTTTACATGGCGCACACTTAACCACATACAGTCATTCTCCCATATTTAGGCCAAAATTTACAGTTTACAGGTTATCTGAGTGAGCTGAGCTCATGACGTAGTACTACGGCACAGACCCTGGTTTTAAACCCGTAGAACAATGGCACGGAGCCTCAAGGGGTTAAGACATACCTGGAGCATACCTGGAGAGGGTTTTAGGGGTCAATGCCCCCATGGCCCGGTCTGAGACCAGGACTCATGGTGGATTAGGGTCTGATCAACCAGGCTGTTACTGCTGGCTTCATGCAAACTAAAGTACGAACCACAGCCCAGTTGGTTAGGTACTGACTTTAGGTGCCTGTCCAGGGCTTTCTTGAAGATAGCCAGGGGTCCTGAAGAGAGTCAGGGGTCTCGAAGACAGCCAGGGGTCTACTGGTAATCCCCCTTATGTGTGCTGGGAGGCAGTTGAACAGTCTTGGGCCCCTGACACTTATTGTGTTGTCTCTCCGTGTACTCGTGGCATCCCTGCTTTTCATTGGGGGAATGTTGCATCTCCTGTCGAGTCTTTTGCTTTCATAGGGAGTGATTTTGTGTGCAAGTTTGGTACCAATCCCTCTAGGACTTTCCAAGTGTATATTATCACGTATCTTTCTTGTCTGTGCTCCAGGGAATATAAATCAAGGGACTTCAACCGTTCCCAGTAATTTAGGTGCTTTATTGTACTCGTGTGTGCTGTGAAAGTTCTTCGTACACTCTCGAGGTCAGCAAATTTGCCAGCCTTGAAGGGAGCAGTTAGTGTACAGCAGTATTCCAACCTAGAGAGCACAAGTGATTTGAAGAGAATCATCATGGGCTTGGTATCCCTAGTTTTAAAGCTTCTCATTATCTATTCAATCATTTCTCTAGCAGATGTGGTAGATGCACTGTTTTGGTCTCTGAAGGCGAGATCCTCTGACATTATCACTTCCAGGTCCTTCACATTACTTTCTCGCTCTATTGTATGGTTAAAATTTGTTGAATACCCTGATACAGTGTTAATTTCCTTAAGTTTTCCATATCTGAGTACATAGTTGAAATTTCTCTTCATTGAACTTCATATTGTTTTGAGTGACCCATTTGAAGATTTGGTTGATATCTGCTTAGAGTCTTGCAGTGTCCTCGATGGAGGTCACTGTCATGGCAATTCAGGAGTCATCTGCAAAGGAAGACACGGAGCTATGGCTTACATTTCTGTCTGTCAGATATGAGGATGAGGAATAGAATGGGAGCGAGTACTGTACCTTGTGGAACAGCTTTTCACCGTAGCCGCCTCATACTTTACTGTATGTACTATTACTCTTTGTGTTCTATTTGTTAGGAAGTTATAGATCCATGTACCAACTTTTCCCGTTATTCCTTTATCGTGCATTTTGTGCGCTATTACACCATGGTCACACTTGTCAAAGGCTTTTGCAAAGTCTGTGCATACTACACCTACATTTTATTTATCCTCTATAGCATCCAGGACCTTGTCATAGTGGTCCAGTAGCTGTGACAGACAGGAGCAACCTGCTCTAAACCCGTGCTGCCCTGGGTTGTGTAACTGATGGGTATCTAGGTGGTTGGCAATCTTGCTTCTTAAAACCCTTTCAAGGATTTTTATGGAATGGGATGTTAGCACTATTAGTCAGTCAGTCAGACTTAGATCATACAACAACAATCATACTTAGATCATACTATAACAGTAAGACTTAAATCATACAACAATCAAACTTGGATCATACAACAACAATCAGACTTGGATCATACAACAATAATCAGACTTGGATCATACTATGAAGTCTTTCCGTGGATACTGGTGCTGGCGACGGGGATAGCAAGCTTCCGCTGGAATACTCTTGCTCGGTGGAATACGGCGGAGGCGCACCTTGGTGCTCCGGTGATGGAGAATTTGCATAGTTAACCGAGTAGTTTCTGAAAATAACAACAGAGGTTGTTATGGGCGTGTACTGAACACAGATATGCATGCTAGTTATGATACAGTAATTACAGGGTCTCACTTTACAGCACTTTGCCTTAATGTGCTTCACTTTACAGCATTTCACTAATACAGTAGTTTTCAAATACAGTGGACCACCGTCTTACGATATTAATGCATTCCAGAAGGCTGTTCGGGTGCTGTTACCAAACGAATTTGCTCCCATAAGGAATATTGTAAATTAGATTAGTCCATTTCAGACCCCCAAAAATACACTTACAAAAGCACTTACAAAAACACACATAATTGTTCGAGTTGGGAGCTGATCGTAAGGCAGGGGTCCACTGTACAGTGGTACCTCGGGATACGAGCCTAAATCATTCCAGAGGGCTGTTCGAGTGTCGATCTGTTCGAGCACTGAACGAATTTGTTCCCATAAGGAATAATGTAAAGTAGATTAATCAACTTCAGACCCCCAAAAATACACTTACACAGCACTTACAAAAATACAATTACATAATTGTTCAAGTTCGTATCCCTAGGTTCCACTGCATAGCCACTCTTCATTTATTCAGACCTCCTACAATAAATATATTAATCACTTACTATAAGCTAAGGACAAAAATATTTTAAAGTACAGTGGACCCCGCTTAACGATCACCTCCCAATGCGACCAATTATGTAAGTGTATTTATGTAAGTGCGTTTGTATGTGTATGTTTGGGGGTCTGAAATATACTAATCTACTTCACAATATTCCTTATGGGAACAAATTCGGTCAGTACTGGCACCTGAACATACTTCTGGAATGAAAAAATATCGTTAACCGGCGGTCCACTGTAATGTGTGCATTGTATATGTGCTTTTGAGGCCAACCTCTACTGCTCACTTAACCCGTAAACGGTCCAGCAGATCTACGTTCACATGTGTAGCGCTACAAAAGTAGATCAAACTTTTTTTACACATTTTCAAATGTAAAAAAACAAAAAGAAGATGTACTTTTTTTACATACTTTAAAATGTTGAAAAAACGTATATATACGTTTGGCCGTTTACAGGTTAACCCTTAAACGGTCCAAACAGATCGACGTTCAAATTCGTAGCTACAAAAGTAGATCTACTTTTTTTTACATATTTTCAAATATAACAAAAAAAAGTAGACAAAAGTTTTTTTTACACATTTTCAAATGTAAAACAAAAAAGATCTACATTTTTTTACATACATACTTTCATATGTTGAAAAAACGTATATATACGTCCTGAGGTGTCTCCTGGTGTCGCAAAATATTTGAGAAAATTTTTTTTTTTATGAAATGATAGAGACTCTTTTCCCGATGGTAATGACACCAAAATTATGAAATTTGATGGAAAACTTATGGAATTATGCTCTCGTGAAGTTAGCGACCTCGGCGATATTTACGAATCGGTGATTTCGCCCACTTTGAGCCCCATTGTTCCAGTCGAACAAACTCATAGCTATTTCTTTAGAACTCCATTTTTTCTATCGATTGAGTATAAGAAACTGCCCATTTACCAATTTCAATTATCCAATAACGTGGTCAGAAATTGGCACTTTGGCCAATTTCACGCAAATTAAAAAATACAACAATTTCAAAATAGGGTCCAGAATGAACAATGCAGACATTCCTGGCTCTAAAATAACATTTTCTTTGTTCATCAGTCATGTCTCCAGTCCCCTCTGATATTACTCTTGCTTTCTATTTTGAATTTTTATTCAAGCAAAAAATAGAAGATTTACTGTTATGCAGACTACTGCAATATTGTAATAATTGTATAAATAACATCAACCCATTCATGACTTCATATTAGAATGGCTACTTGGACATTTATTGGAAAATGACGTCATTTGTTTACTTTTGAACATTGGCAAAAATCAAACATTTCCCCTACTTTGAGCTCCATTTCCAGGTTCTTTTTATAGTAAAACCAATCAAAATCACCTCTGCTTCTATAATATGTTTTCCATTCTATCAAATGAGACCAAGAAAACGAGAATACAACCATAAATACTATACAAAAATAGACCACAAAGTCGGCATTTTAATTAAAAATAATGGTCAGTTTTTTTCTCATTATGCACTGCATGATGCACGATTTTTTTTATATGGTGCACACTGACCACACAGACCCATTCTCTCACATGTGGGCCTACCAGCTTTCTCCCGCTCGATCTGAAGCTGCTAGAATTTTTTAGTATATACGTCAAACACGGTGGGTCGTAAGACATATACAGTGGACCCCCGCATAACGATATTAATCCGTTCCTGAGAGCTCATTGTTATGCGAAATTATCGTTATGCGAATGAATTTTCCCCATAAGAAATAATGGAAATCAAATTAATCCGTGCAAGACACCCCAAAGTATGAAAAAAAAAATTTTTACCACATGAAATATTAATTTTAATACACACAAACTGAAAAAGACATGCACAGTTACATGACACTTACCTTTATTGAAGATCTGGTGATGATTGATGGGATGGGAGGAGGAGAGAGTCTTAGTGTTTAGAAGGGGAATCCCCTTCCATTAAGACTTGAAGTGTCAAGTCCTTTTCTGGGGTTACTTCCCTTCTTCTTTTAATGCCACTAGGACCAGCTTCAGAGTCACTGGACTTCTGTCGCACAACATATCTGTCCATAGTGGCCTGGACCTCTTGTTCCTTTATGACTTCCCTAAAGTGTTTCACAACAGTGTCAGTGTAATAGTCACCAGCACGGCTTGCAATAGCTGTGTTAGGGTGATTGTCATCAAAAAAGGTTTGCACTTTAAGCCACATTCCACACATTTCCTTAATCTTTGAAGTAGGCAACTTCTTCAATTTCTCTCTCCCCTCCTCCAAACCAGTTTCCTCAGGTCTGGCCTCTTGCTGTTGAAGTTGATCTAACAGCTCATCAGTGGTTAGTTCGTCATTGTCCTCCTCCACCAACTCTTCCACATCATCCCCACTAACCTCCAACCCCAAGGATTTTCCCAATGCCACAATGGATTCCTCAACTGGCATACTCCTCTCAGGGTTAGCCTGAAATCCTTCAAAATCCCTTTGGTCTATACATTCTGGCCACAGTTTCTTCCAAGCAGAGTTCAAGGTCCTCTTAGTCACTCCCTCCCAAGCCTTACCTATAAGGTTTACACAATTGAGGGTATTAAAGTGATCTCTCCAGAACTCTCTTAGAGTCAGTTGAGTTTCTGAGGTCACTACAAAGCACCTTTCAAACACAGCTTTTGTGTACATTTTTTTGAAGTTTGCAATAACCTGCTGGTCCATGGGCTGCAGGAGAGGAGTGGTATTAGCAGGCAAAAACTTCACCTTAATGAACTTCATGTCTCCATAAAGTCACTCTGCCACGTCTGTAGGACGACCAGGGGCATTGTCTAACACCAGGAGGCACTTAAGGTCTAATTTCTTTTCAGTTAGGTAATCTTTCACATTGGGGCAAATGCATGGTGTAACCAGTCATAGAAAAAGTCCCTAGTGACCCATGCCTTACTGTTTGCCCTCCACAGCACACACAAATTAGCCTTGAGGACATTCTTTTGCCTGAACGGTCTGGGAGTTTCTGAGTGATACACTAATAAAGGCTTCACTTTGCAATCACCACTAGCATTGGAACACATCAACAGAGTAAGCCTGTCTTTCATAGGCTTATGTCCTGGGAGTGCCTTTTCCTCCTGAGTAATGTAGGTCCTGCTTGGCATTTTCTTCCAAAACAGGCCTGTTTCATCACAATTAAACACTTGTTCAGGTTTCAGTCCTTCACTGTCTATGTACTCCTTGAATTCCTGCACATATTTTTCAGCTGCTTTGTGGTCCGAACTGGCAGCCTCACCATGCCTTATCACACTATGTATGCCACTATGCTTCTTAAATCTCTCAAACCAACCTTTGCTGGCCTTAAATTCACTCACATCATCACTAGTTGCAGGCATTTTTTTAATTAAATCCTCATGCAACTTCCTGGCCTTTTCACTTATGATCACTTGAGAGATGCTATCTGTTTTTCATTTATCCATACCAATGAGAGTCTCTCAACATCTTCCATCACTTGCGATCTCTATTTCAAAAACACAGTTGAACCTTTGGCAAGAACAGCTTCCTTGATTGCCGTTTTGTTGCCCACAATAGTAGCGATGGTTGATTGGGGTTTATTATACAACCTGGCCAGCTCGGAGACACGCACTCCACTTTCATACTTAGCAATGATCTCTTTCTTCATCTCTATAGTAATTCTCACCCTTATTGCTGTAGGGTTGGCACTAGAAGCTTTCTTGGGGCCCATGGTCACTTATTTTGCAGATAAAATCACCAAAAACACTGTAATAATACGAAATGTTCTGATTGTATGCTTGGATGTTACCGCAGAGGCTGGCTGGTAAACAATGCCACCGGCGGAACATGTGAGGCTGGCTCAGGCTGCACATTAGACGCGTCTTGGATGAACAGCGTTGAGCGGATTTTTTAGCGGTATGCGAGGCAAAATCTTAGCGATAAAATGTATCGATATGCGGGGGTCCACTGTATATACGCCGAAACAGTCAAAGGGTTAATATATAATAGCGTAAACATGTTATTAGGATTTTATAGGCATTTGAAAGTAAAGAAATATTATATTTCACTTTACAACACTTTACTGTACAGCAGTAGCCTGGATCATAACCTGCTGTATAAGCAGGGCCCTCCTGTACGGCAGTAGCCTGGATCATAACCTGCTGTATAAGCAGGGGGCCCCCCTGTACGGCAGTAGCCTGGATCATAACCTGCTGTATAGCAGGGCCCTCCTGTACGGCAGTAGCCTGGATCATAACCTGCTGTATAAGCAGGGCCCTCCTGTACAGCAGTAGCCTGGATCATAACCTGCTGTATAAGCAGGGCCCTCCTGTACAGCAGTAGCCTGGATCATAACCTGCTGTATAAGCAGGGCCCTCCTGTACAGCAGTAGCCAGGATCATAACCTGCTGTATAAGCAGGGCCCTCCTGT